GAGGCAGGGAGCGGAGATCTGAGGGGAGCGCTGGGACCCGCTCGGAGCTGGCTCGCTCTCCCGCAGTGTTTGTGGTTTTCTCCTTCACCTCCGTCGTCGACTTGATCATCTCGCTGGAGGAGGATGGCTACATTTCTGGCTTCATGGAGGTCTTCGTCAGAGAGGTACCACCTCACCCCGCCGAGGGCTCTCGTGCACCCGGGTCAAGCGCGGATGCTGCTCCTGCTCCCGAAACTGCTCCGGCCGCAGAGGGACCGTGCACGGAGCATCCCTGGCTCCCATGGAGTCCCCTGGGGATGGGGGGTGGGAAGGCGTCTGTCCCCACCCCGTATGATCCGCTATTTTCCGAACGGGCAGGGCGAGCCCTACCTGCGCACTGCCCACGGCATCATGATCTGTTACTGGGACGGCATCGTCCACTACGGGCTCTACCTCGCCATGATCGCGGCCATCGGCCAGAGGCGGGCGGGGACGCGGGGAGAAAAAAAACCGCGTGGTGTCTTCATGGATCGGGACCGCGGAGGGGCTCGTGGGGGTTGGAGGATCCCGAATTTATTGAGGAGGGGAGCTCTGAGCCTGGTGGAGGTGTCTGACCCCGATGTCTCTGCAGAAAGAGCTACAGGAACCTGGGTCTCTTCTGGCTGGGCTCTCTGATGATGAGCATCGTCGTCTTCCTGCTTGGGAACCTGATAGGTACAGGGGAGGGGGCAAAGGGGGGCTCGACTCCTCATCCAGCCCTTGCTGATCCCTCCAGGCTGCCTCCATCCCCCCGTCTGTCCGTCGGGGTTGCCCCCAGGCACGGTGGAGGAGGAAGGTGCTGACCCGGGGGCGAGCGGCAGCTATCCATACTGGGTGCTGAGCACTCGGCCGTGCCTATCCTGTGCTCTCCTTCCCCAGGGAAATACAGCTCCGACCTCAGCCCTGCCTTCCTGCTCAACCTGCCCTACCTCCTCATCCCCATCTGGGCTGGAGGAAGGCTCTTCCAGCAGCCCAAGGCCCTGCCGTGCCTCAGCCCCGAGAAGGTGAC